TCCATAATATGAAAATAAGTGAATAAAATTTAATTACCATAATTATTAGAATAATATTTTTTTATGTATTTTATCTAATTCATTTTAATCATGTTTGATACATAATATAATGAATAGGATAACATGATAATTAACTTATAATATACTTGATTTGCATCTATAAAATAGAATAAGATTATAAGGAAATTAATTATCTTTTTAGTATAAAATGATTTAATTATCTCAAAGTGAAAAAAATGTTATTTTTAATCCATGAAATTGAACTTACATATCTTATTATACTCTTAAAAATTACATCAATAATTTAAATTATATAAACTTTGAAAAAATATAAGCACACATCAAACACAAAATAAAATAATATTATTTAATCTAATTCAATTTATAATATTATCTTATCTTATCTTATAATAATCTTATATACCTAACACACCCTTTATAGATTATCTCAGCCAACTCATAAGATTTTAACAAAATATGGGATATCTCAAATATGATTTTGACAAAATATAGGATATGTCAAACATGGAAAAGTATTTATTCGTCAAGTTTGAGACTTTCAATCCATATATACCTGACTCTATCTATTCAAAGGCCAACCATGTTTCACATACATCATCTCCTGACTGCCAAATATAAATAAAAACAATTAATGTTATTAATAACTCTAAATTATAATAAAATATTTAATATAATATCTAAATTTTAAAAATTTTTAATGTAATACTTGAACTATAAATTTATTAACTAATGTGATAATCACATGGTTAGCTTCAAACGGTAAGACATTATGCACAAATAATCCTTCAAATACCACATCAATTAACAAATTAATAATTTAAATATCACATCGAATATTTCATTATAATTAACATTAACCCAAATAAAAATAAAATAATGAGCAACAATGCTTTTCTTGGCGTCACCACTCACCCATGTGCCTACAGCTCCTCTAAAACCTTGTAAGTAAAAGTAAAATCATATTCAAAGTGGATAAGGTGACAAAAGAAAATTGTATACATACATACATACATACATACATATATATATATATATATATATTTAGAATTAGCCAACAATTGACAAAAACAATGTCGGCTGAAGCAATTGACAAAATAGAAAATTGTTTAATGAAGCCAGCAATTGAGTTAGCATCTAACAGAGAAAGGAAAAGCCTTGGTTTTCATATTAGCCACTAACCCCAACCTTCCACCAGTGTATCTTCTTGGGAAGGCTATTTCATCAACCAAATAAATAAATGGCCTGGCTAATACAATGGGTTAAAGGGATCACATGCAACACCCTTTGCAATGAAACCAACTCATTCATATACAAAAACAACGGCACAAATATATGGCTTTCATAGTATTAGCATGCCAAGCAAAAATAACAACCAAAACAAATCCATGTTTGTTGGGGGGGAAGTCATGAAAAGACCAAATCAGTAACTGTTAAAGAACATAACTGAATGATAAGAGACATATGGAGCACAGAGACAGGAATCACTTCCACCTCTTGTATCCAAAGAACTTGCCCTTATGTTTTCCAAACATGCCATGCTTCCAACGCTTCCCAAACTTCCCATGCTTAAATTTCCCATGTTTGAATTTTCCAAGACCATGGCCATAGTAACCCCAACGTCCAAGATGATGAGCTCCATGTGCCATATGGTGAGCCCCATAAGCAGCAGCCGCAGCAGCAGCTCCTCCAGCTACCAATGCTCCCACACCATGTCCATGCAAACCATGTCCTGTAAATTTTACTATTCAGGTCAAATGATGATATAAGATGAAAATGAAATACTATGTATATGTGAGTGAGCATCACTCCAGATCCTTTTGGGTTTTGAGAGTTAAAGAAAATGCAGTACATGAAAAACAAATCTATACAACTTTTAATTTAAAGCAAGATACTAAGTAAAAACCTTTTATATAAAAAAATGACAAAAAAATGACAATCAATAATAAGTTTGAAATCCAATATTATGTTCTTGCTCATTGCTGTTTGAAGTATGAAAAGAAACCAAAGCCCATAAGGGCTGCTCTAGGTAGGATTAACAACTTGAATCTAACAGAAACAATAAAACAGCCATAGGAAAATAAAGGGTCCTGGAGCATACCGGGATAACCAGCTGGTGGATATCCACTATGAGGTGGATAAGCTACCGGAGGGTAACCTCCGGGAGGAGGATATCCAGCAGGTGGGTATCCGCCAGGAGGAGGATAACCTGGCGGATACCCTCCACCTGGCGGATACCCTCCTGGTGGAGGATATCCAGCCAGTGGGTAGCCTTGTGGGGGATATCCATGAGGGGGATATCGAGCCAGTGGGTAGCCTTGTGGGGGATATCCATGAGGGGGATATCCATAAGGAGGATATCCTTGTGGATGGTAAGATCCAGGTGGAGGATAATGTCCAGCAGCATAGCCAGCAAGATGAGAAAACAGCCCTTTGTCACTTGACTCGCCTTCATGCTTGTCCCTACCACCTCCCATTTTTCTTCAACTTGAAATTATTGAGTTTTGAGTAACTAGTCTGTTATGAGTTGAAAGAACAAAACATTATTGGCTGAAACAAACTCTAAAGGAAAATATTGAAAAGAAAATACTAAAAAAGAAATCAGTAACAAATGCTATCAAATGAGTACCGTTATCAAGGCTTGGCTGGTTTCAAAAGTTGGTTCAAGCAAAAGTAAGATTGTGAGAGAAGAAAAAGGGTAATTCCTAGTTCTAAACATCTATATGTATGATATGCTTAACATTTCAGTATTCTCTTTCTTGTCTCTCATTCTTCCATTTAAGCAGACCAGAAACTAGGAAAAGAACAAAAAGTTTCAACAACAATCAAGTTCAATAATCTAATGTATTCTGAAGTCCCATTTATCGAACAGAGACGAGCCTTCCACTTCCATTAATAATGAATTAATGATTAAATAGCTCTACTCTCTCTAAATATTAATTAACATTATTAACTTGATCAGAATTCTATACAGTAAAATGAAGGCATCAGAAAAGATCCTAGAATCAGATCAAGAACGATACTACATACTAGTAGAGAAATTTAACATTATGACATTTTAGAATACTATGAATATAGCATACTAATAACTTCAAAATGCATCTTTTAAGGTATTGGAAGATAGCATTAGCACGTAATGAAATCAGAAAAAATTTGCTGATGCTGAATCAATAATGATAAGAAATTTACAAAATAAAACAATCATATTGAGAGTATATAAAAAAAGAGTCATAGACTAGCTATTATTTCTTTAGATTGACTTTACAATGTATTGCCATCAATATGGATGCTTTTTTTTCATGAAAGATTCACAAGCACACCATACATATATTCTTCTTCTCTGAATTTACCATCTGCCATAGTAAATGTATTGGATCTAAAGGGACATACATACATACACGAGTGTTTTTATGCATATTTGCAGATACATACATACATGCATGTCTATATTCTTACATAAAAACACACCTACATAGTCCTTTGGCAACAAGGTGACATGGCAGATATACATACATGTGTCTGCAAATATGCATACATGATTAAACATACATACAGAAAAAAAAAAAAAACACCCAGAAGATCAAACAACACATGCGCCATTCTTTTAATGGTATTTGAGAAAAATTAAAAAAAAAATCCCGTAGTTAATAAAGGATTAAAAAAACCAGCAAAAACAAAAGATATCGAAATTATGGATTAAACCCAAAACTAAAAACACCCCAAAAACAAGAAAGAAGGGGAAATGATTACACAGATGGAGAGAAGAGGGAACCAAAAATTGTGGAGCAAAGCAAAGAAAGATCCTTGAAAACGAAAGACATGAGGTAAGAGTGCGAGAAGGCTGCGGGTTTTTACCTTGTTGTAGGGGATTCTTTAGATCCGAAAACTCCTCTCCTTTGGCTTTGCAATAAAAAATATTATCGAAGTGAATTTCATCGACGGAGATGTTTTGAGGGAGAGTTACTAGTTTTCCGAGAAAATATTTAAAGAAAAGATGGGAAAGTAGAAAGAAAAAAAAAAGATATCCAAAAAATCTAAATTGTTGGGTACGTTTTTTCGACTTTAATTTGTACAAGTTATTTCAACGCGGTTGCTTTCAAGGTGACGCTCATCACGTAGTAGTTATCGAGCTGGTACCTGCTCGCTGCTATTTGTTCCTTATTTTAATTGTTTTTTTAATATTATAAAATTAATTTTTTTATAATGTTAATGCATCATATTTTTTATTTTCAAAAATAAAAATAAATATAAAAAAGTAAGACTATAAAAATATAAAAATAAAAAATTATTTTAAAACACTTCAAAAAAAAAGAACAATTAAAATAAGAAGGAAAAATTATATTTTTTCTCATTTTAATTTTTCTCTTAATTTATAAATACTATTCACTTTTTTCTTTATTTTTTATAAAAGTAAATGAAATAAATTTAAAGTAAAAAAAAATGCAAAAACGCTAGAAAAAGTAAATTTTTGCTATATGTTTTTCTTTAATTATTTATCTTATCTGACAGACGTGATAAATTTTGTTTGAAGTACACATGTGTTCTATGTTCAATGATAGTAACTGTTTTTCATGTTTCACGAAGAATTTAGTGAAGTTGAGGTGCAATTGCATGATTTATTTACGATACCATTTATTCAAATAACATTATTGCTTTTTACGTCACAATATCTTTAAAAAAAATTGTTATTTTGTCTCAAGGAACTGTTTCATTAATTAGAATATAGTTAAATAAACATTTGATAAATAGCTTGTGAATAAATCTAGGGTTTATATTTATTTATTAAATTTAATAAATGATCATAAATAATATTTTAAAATTAATTAATTAAACAAGTAAATTATAAACATAATAAATTTTCTTCATATTTGTTTCATTTATATATAAAATAAAAATAGAGCATTTGTTACATAGTTCATGAACATATTTATTTTTATTCTTTTATTAAATTTAACAAACAATCATAATTTACATTCTAAAATTTATTAATTAAATGAATAAATTATAAATATAATAATTTTGCCACTTTTTTTTACAAAGACTTGCCTCTTTTCTTGTTGTTCTTGATAACAAGTTTCGTCTTCGAGATCAGAGGTGAATAAAAAAGATTTCTTATTTACATATTTTTTTATCTCGTGTTTTTAATATTGTGCTATATGAATACAGCCATGTAAATATTATTCATTTGTCATGTTAATTATTATTTTTATTCTCTTCGTTTAAGCATCATTAATTTAACATTTCAACCAATTACGAACATTATTCCAAAATTAATTAATTAAACAAATAAATCACTGACATAATAAATTTTGCTCATATTTGATTCATTTAAATTTAAAAAATAAAGTATTTATTAAATAATTTATAAATATATTTATTTTTAATCGTTTATTAAATTTAATAAATAATTACAACTTACATTCTAAAATTTGTTAATTAAACAAATAAATTATAAATATAATAAACTTGCTATTTTTCACGAAGACTTGCTTCTTTTTTTGTTGTTCTTGATGGCAAGTTTTCGTCTTAAAGATCGGAGTTGAATAACAAAGACTTCTTACTTATATATATATTTTTATCTGCAGTTTTTAATATTATGCTATATAAATACTACCATGTAAAATATTATTCATTTGTCATGTTAATTATTATTTTTATTCTCTTTATATAAGCATCATTAAATGTTTTTCTTTTTTTACTTTGGGCGAAAGTATTTTGATTATTCATGAAATTAATTATTTATGAATCTATAATGTTCATAAATTCAATTAATTATGAATAAGTATTTAATATTTCGTGTCATTTAAAATTTAAATTTAGATTCATATTTACAATTAATTAATTATAAATCAGATCCCAAATTGAATAGATTTAATTATTTATCAACTTAAAATTCATAAATTTATGATATTAATGAATTCAATTAATCACGGATGAATGGATTTAGCGTTAAATATAATTTAATATATATTAACATATTCATTGATCATTATAAATATATATGAATCAAATCAACATATTAAATCTACAAAAACACACAAAATATAAGCTAATATATATCTATATGTATAGAAGTTTTTCATATTTTTTATATCATTTATTTATTTCAAAGAAAATTGTTACTACAACCATTAACATTTTAATCTATATCTTGGGTTTTTTTTTTTTTTTTTTTGTTTCCTGCTCATTCTTTTATAAACATAATAATATAATGTAATATTGAAATAGATTAAATGATATAATTATTTTTTTAAATATTAAGTAAATTTTAAATTTCAGCACTTGTTATAATTTTTATTTTAAATTACGATACCTTTTATATATAAAATTTATAAATAAAAAATTAATGTAGAAAGTGGTACATTATTTTTTATATCATATATTTATATAAATATATAAAGATAAAATAAAAAATTAAGGTGGAAAAGGGTACAATATTTTTTATGCAATTATACATGATAGTCGTTGATAGTGTACAGATGCTTTTGCTTGGATTTATTTCAATAAATTTATAAATAAAGCCAAAAAGATTGAAAGATTCCAAATTCCAAAATTTATCATAGAAAATGCAATAAAATTTGACGATGTGGGAAGCGCCATGTGGCTTCTTGATGCACGCTGGTGTGCCAAAGGAAAACTTTAGAATATATTCCAAGACAATTGGAATATTTGAAACATTTTCTTTTCATTATTCGATATTATCACTAAAAAGAAGTTCTTTTATCAAGTCAATTTAAGCTTAATTTAATAAGGTCGTTGAAAATAATTTTTTTTAAAAAAAAATAGTTTTAATTTAATCTCAATATTAAACAATAAAAATGCAAATTTTCAGTTTAAATTTTTTATTTACAAACCTAAATAAAAAAGCACTTAAAAGTGATTTTACAATGAAAAATCTCTATATTATTTATATTTTTCCAATATTTTCATTATTTTATGTATATATATAATATTTTAAACATTTAAATTTTCTAAAATTTTATTATTTAAATATTTTTTAAACTTTTAAATTATTTATAGTACTTTTCACCGTTATCAAAGATTTAAAATTTTTAATATATTTTTTATCGTAAATTTTAAATTTAATGTTAAAATAGCCCTTAAGCAACATAAGGTTGAAACCTTGAAAGATTTGTTAATTTAAATCAGGGTTTGAAAGTGCCCAGCCATCATTAAATTATTTATAGTCCTTTTTCACCATTATCAAACATTTAAAATTTTTAATATATTTTTTATTATACATTTTAAATTTAATGATAAAATAGCCCTTAAGTAACATAAGGTTGAAACCGATAAATATTTGTTAATTTAAACCAGGGTTTGAAATTGTCCAGCCATCAACTCTTAGGGCCGACAATGATATCGATAGTAACTTTTTTATGAAAAAAATAAAGATAAATAGATTATATAATTTTTCAAGTCAAGATAAAAATTTATCATATTTTTTAAAAGTTTTAAAATAACGAGATAGCAAATTAATAATAAAAAAGATATCATAAAATTTTAAAATATAGATTCAAATCTATTGTATGTAAATTTAATTTAATTTTTAGTTAATTAATTAATTAATTAATTATTATATAAAGATATAATATTTAATTATGATTGTAATTTATATTTATAATTTAAAAATTAGTTCAAAATATTTTAAAACCCTTTTTTTTAGATTGAACGTATCTTAACCATTGATAGTTCAATTTGGAAGCCCGATAAAACCATCTATTCAGACCCCCAAATGGATTGTAAATCAAACAACCATTGTTTTGTTAAGCTGAATTTTCTTGTTACTCTTATTCTAATCTTCTTAGTCGTGGACCAAAATGAAACATTTGTTTTTTATGTAGATTTTTATAACTTATTGTGTTATGAAATAGTAATTATTTTGAATTAAAAAATAAAAAGTCAATTTGAACACTATATGCATTAAGTTTTTTGCATCTTCATGCACCAAGGATTTTCAACAGTGGCTGTTTGCTTTTTGTAAGTAAGGGCTTTAGCCTTTGAATTCATTAAAAAAGAAGCTTTGAAGTTTTAAATTAACAAAATGGATTAAGGCCTAACCAGATGATTGAGCCGGTCTTCTTTTCCGGTACAAAACTCCCTACATACATTCATGATCATTATTATTCTTACATCTTAAGTCACATAATTAAAAGTGTAAACGAATAAATCATGAATGAATTGTGACATTTCGTGATCTGTTTATTTAATTAATTATAAAATATTATTTGTGATTATTTGTTAATATTAATAAAAAAAATTAAATTCATTCACGAACTGTTTGCTGAACATTTTATTTGCTCTTATAAACGAATTGAAAATGAAAAAAATTTGTTAAGTCCATGATTTATTTGTTTAATTAATTAATTTTAAAATGTTATTAATAATTATTTGATAAAATTAATAAATAAATAAAAATTGAACACATTTATTAATGATTCGTCAAACATTTTATTTATTTACTCACTATCTAATTTTAAATGTTCAAGATGAGAGAGCCATATGCCTCCATACCCTTTACAATACTCTGCCCCAACATTAACCTAACTGCTCAATATCATAATGGCATGCATTATTGGATAATGAAAGCCGTTTACAAATTATAAATTCCTAAAGCCTATTCAATGTTATCGATCATCATCTGAGTCCAAATATGGGAGGACAAAATGCAAAAGCCCATTTATTATGCAAGGTTCCAAGTATTGATTATTGGTTCAGATTCTAAAGGACTTAAAAATCAGTAAGCAGGTAATAGGGAAAAGCCATCTCATCTCTCAAACTCCACATGGCTACAATGGTTCTCATCAGTTATGAATACTTGGAAAAAGGAATGAAGTAGCTAACATGTTTTCATTATGTATCAATCATCTCTCTATGATTTGAAATAATTAGCAGCAATTAGCAGATATAATATAGGGATTACCACTTCCAATATCCACCATAATTGGCAATGTTGGATCCCGGCAGACTTCACACCAATCAGCTACAGGCACTGGCACCCACCCAGAATCTAATGATTTGAGACTCCATTCAACAGTAAACCTTTCATACCAAGCCAAGAAGCATTCACAACAGAAGCCAATAAGACGAAACCATTACTGCCAGGAGATAATGTATGATTGATTACCTACAGAGAAAGATGAACTGAGATGGTTGACATGTGACCTGATTCTTACGTGACCCAACTCCTGCATTCAAATAATGGAGGGCAGAAAACACCATTATGATAACAAGAGAAAAAATTTATAACCTATTATAAATATATAATTAAAAGAGAAAAAAAATTTAACACACCATTATCATAAAAAGAGAAATCTTGATGACCCGTAATCATGAAAAGATAAAACTTGATAATGAAGAGAAAGAAAAGGGTACCTGAGAAATCTTGTCAGTGAGGTTAAGATGATGTATTGAGACCATTGTATGGTTCTACGGCTGTTGTAGAGCAACGGATACATCATCTCCTCAACAAATCAAATCTGAGATACTCATGTGAAAAAGAAAAAAAATCATTTTTCATTTTCCTCTGAAATCTTTAATTGATTTGCCTCATTATTCCCCATTGTTACTTTGTTAATCATATCTCAAGTGAGAGGATAAAGGATAAAATACTTCTTCATTGTTAATTTGTTACCAAAGCAAAATATTGGACTCAATTGTTGTTGTGGGAAAATTTTTTTTCTTTTTCATGAAGTTGTGGGAAATTTTTTTTATTGATGGTAAAATATTCATTTTCTTTAATTTAATCATATGAAAATGAAAATTTCTCACTATCTTTGTTCTCTCATAACTAGATTTTGATGTTAAACAACAACTATTAAGGAGGATGAGTCAAGATAAAGAAATGAATCCCTTTCTTAAACTCAACTCAATCTAATCAGAATGTTTTGCATTTTAAAAAAATTATTTTATGATTAAATGGGTATTTTATTTAAGCCACCAGGCATATTCAAGCATAAGTGCTTAATGCTTTATTCATAGTGCATGTAGTTTATTGAAGACAAATAATGGCATGGAAGATTCGACAGGTATTCTTTACATCTATCGTCATTTGGTTTTGCATAATAATATATTTATTCTATCAATATGAAATTTATTCAATCAATTAAAATTTATTTTTTTTAATAAAGAGTTATTGGGTTCGAGTCTTATCGGTGATTATTTGTTAGAATCATTTTGAATGTATAATTTACAATCACTTGTTTTAAATTATTAGATAAAACACATCTTATCTTGATTTAACTGAACAATTTATTTATCTCAAAATTTTTTGATTAAAAAAAAATTGATTTCGTTTAGTTCATGATAAAGTTTTGTTAAATTATTTCCTAAAAATTCATCATTAAACTTGAATATCATTTTTAATATTTTAATATTATTTAACTGGAGATCTAAAAGAATGATATAAGTTTTTTAAAGAAAATACTTTGGGAACTGATCACTTTTTTTTTTTCAGTAAAATTCAGTGTGTAATTTATCTTGGAACTTAATGAGTGAAATTTAGGGATAAAGTAATTTTAGATTTTACTCAATTTTTAATTAATTTAAATAAATTTATTTATATTAAATTAAATAAATTAATAAAACATTATTTTCTTATGATCTCTTAAATTTCGAATCCAAATTTTTATTTATATACATTAAAATACTTGAGAGTTATGGGTAATTAAATTCACCATTATCAATTAAAAATAAATTAAATTATGGGTTTTTTTTTTAAATTTAGTCTTTTTACATAATATTAAACAATTAACTTAAAAAGGGTTAAAATTTTAATTAATTGAAAGTTTCATCTTGAAAAAAAACAAGGGGTTAATAATATATTTTTATATAACTCAAAATCTAACGAATATTTTTGGTATAATTTTTTAATTATAAAAAATATGTAAATAAAATTTTTAATCTATTTTTCACACTAAAATAAAAAAAAATTATGGAAATAAGGCTGTAAATTGGAAATAAAAAAAATGGTAGCCGTCTCTCTCTCATCCTCAGGTAATCCTTCTTCCCCTTATCCTCTTATTTATCACGATAAACCGATTACCCTAATGTCAAAGTCTCTTCTTTTCTCTTCTCTTCTTCTCCTTCCTTATTTCCATCCGCTTGGCACTGCCTGGAGACAGATAAACAATACCCATTTTTTCCTTTTTCCTTTTTCTCTTCTTCAAATGGACAATATCAATGGTTTGTTAAAGGAGAAAACACAATTTACTTTTGTTTTTATTTAAGTTATCAGTGAGAAGCCGGAAAGAAAGTGAAGAGCAAAGGGGAGAGGATGTCTTGTTTGTTGCCACAGTTCAAGTGCCAACCTGTCATTTTCTCTATCCAATTCAGACCTCACCACTCTCACCATTGTAAGTTTCACACTTAAAAGATGCCTTTGTTTCAATTATAATTCAAACGGGTAGTTGATATATGCATATATATATGTTTTTAACTAGATTGAAAGTTACTTTATTCAGTCTGAACTAAACTGGTTGTGCATTAGTTTTTTTACTAGTTTTGAATTTGGTTGAGTGTTACTACTCATAAATGCATTTGTTTTCAATTAAAATTGAGTTGGGTAGTTGTTATATTTTTCTATTGGATTGAAAAGCTAGAGACTTTATTTGATCAGAAGTGAAATGGGTGTGCTTTGCCTTTTGTGCTAGTTTTGAGTGGCATTCTCCACCATTTGATTTATGTCAACCTTAATTTTAATTTGTGTGCTTTGTTTTTGGTAGTAATTTCAATGTCAGAAAGTCAATGTCTTTATTTCAATTACAACTATGAAGGCCCTATAGCAGTTAATTGGACGAATTTTATTCTGATATGCTCGCAAATGCCTTTTATTTCTACCATAATTATCAGTTTTTGTTGAATTTGTGTATTTTCATATGGTAGGCTGCCTTCTTTTAACCTGATATCTGAAACAAGAGTGGATTTAATGTGGCTTTGTTGCTTTTATAACAATGCAAGTTATGCCAATGCCACTTCATTTTTGCTCTTAATGGTTTTCAATGAGCATTACCCACATTTCTATTGTTAATGCCTTGCGTAAGGACTAAGACTGAACTGTCTTCCTGAGCATTCGAGGAATTAATTACCTTCATTTGGCTTGGTTTGTTAATTTGGCTATAGGGATTACATATAATTTGCTATTTCCTTTGTTGCTAATTTTTTAATTGCTGTTGCTAGAATGGTTAAATACTTTTCTGCTAAGTAACACGCTTGTGGCAAGTTTACTGATCCTCTTAAGGTTTGTGGATTGATCTTTGTGGGCTTAGGTGCTTGTTATTCATATGTTTGTATCTTTCTCATTAGAATATAAGAATACATTTACAAATTAGTTTGTCTTTTTTGGTGCAATATTTCTGATGCCCCTCCTTTACCACTTCCCTTAATGAGTAGATCCTGGATAAAATTTTTGTAGTTTGTAATGCTTTTCTTTGCATCATCATTTGTATTTGTATGATTATTTAATGTAAAGCTTTAAGGATTCTTTGGTTTGTAATGGTATCATTTGTCATTATTTGTTTCTTCTCATGATTTCTTGGCTGAATCTGCAGCAAAACATAAAGAATCTATATGTTTCCAAACACAATGTGTTTTATCTACCACTTTACCATCAACATCAACAGTGACAACTGCAGTGCTTGATGTAGAGAAGCTAAGATTACCATATTTTGAAGCTTGTCCAAATTCAGTTGTGGCGGATAGACCATGGACATATACAGGGGCAACCGGTCTGCCCTCAGAGGTCAGTATTGTTCGTTTGAGGATATGGACTTGAGAATTTCAGTTAAAAAAGTAGATTATTAGCTATTGAACATCTGAAATAGACATGTTTTCTTCCTTCATCTAGTTCATTGCCTCTAGATGAACTAATGAATGATCTATTGCATATGAAGATCATGCTAGACAATGAGCCTGTTACTTTCAAGGAATTGCATTTTGGTTATAAGCGTATAAGTTTTTCTGTAGACCCATTTGAAGGTGTGTTTATTCCAGCAATTCTGTTTCCTCAGTGATTTTCTAAAAATTGAGCCAATTCATAATCTCTGGATGATAGGTAATTATTAAGTTCTCTTCTTAGTTTCTTCATTCTGGGCTACTGAGTTTTGGCCATATTGTCAATTCTGAAGATTACTTTCAGTGGCAATTGTCTTGCTGTGCCTTGTCGTTTCAGCCTGTGTTTAGAATTATAGTGTCTGGTTGAATGATCTCTTTATCAAAGAGTAAAAATTTACTACAGAATTTTGGTGCTTGTTATGAGGTCATAACACGATGTGTGTGATACAGTTTCAATTTCATGTCTTTGATATATATACAGGCAAGCTATGGAGCAACTGAAAATCTTCTTACAAGTGATGAGGATGTAATTGCTGCTGCAGCTGCTGAGGCAGTAGCTCTTGCACGAGCAGCTGTTAAAGTTGCCAAGGATGCTGCCTTGATGGTTAAGAACCGCAGTTCTGCAAAAACAGAAATGAAATCTGCAGTGTCATCTGTGACTGATATTTGCACATCCAAGTGGGCTCTGTTTACTGAAGCAGAGAGGGCTAGTATTGTTGGAGATTTCCTCACAGATGAAAGTGAACTGGAAGAAAATGATTCAGAGCAACATTTGACAAAAGAATCTGATGAACTAGAGCCCACAAATGAAGAACTTGAACTTCTTGAGGAACGATTATCCAGAAGTATAGCAGTGAGGTCAAAGCGCCAACCAGAACGAAAAGCCAGAAGAACAAAAGCAGCAGAGAAGGCTGCTGCCAACATTGTTTCTGTGAAGTCCGGTTCTACCAGCAGAAAGAGGCGCGGTGCTTTACAAGATGTAGACTACTCTGATCCATTGCGTTACTTGAGAGGGACTACCAGTACTTTCAGGCTTCTCACTGCTAATGAAGAACTTGAGTTGTCGGAAGGAATACAGGTATGATAATTTGACAGGGATATTGGTAAATTAAGACTCTTAGGGAGATAAAATTCCTGCAATTGCTTAATCTATCACCAAAGGTGCATTTTTTACCTTGGATAGTAATCCGAGATGATGCCATGAATGCCCTGAGATTTCTGAACATAAAGCTTGTGTGCTGTGTGCTTGTGTTCTCCGGGCATCATAGACCATCAATGTTGTAATTGGCTCATCCAAATGGTTTATTAAAAGATTATTAAATCATTCTTGTTGCACTATGAACTAAAACTTTGATGTGTACTTGTACCTTCTTGATTTTGTAAGTTTCTAATTTCTCCTTGTATCACTAACTTCAGGATCTACTGAAACTGGAAAAGCTCCAGGAGGAGCTTGCAGAGCGATGTGGAGGACAGCCAACCTTTGCACAGTGGGCTGCTGCTGCTGGAGTTGACCAGAAGACCCTGAGAAGGCGCTTAAATTATGGTGTGCTTTGCAAGGACAAAATGATTAAAAGCAACATACGGCTTGTTATTTCAATTGCAAAAAATTATCGGGGAGTTGGAATGAATATCCAAGATCTTGTTCAGGTATGCGATCTCCAACATGCAGCTGAACGAGTTGTGTTTCTCATGAGAATGGAACTGTGAAAAAATTTAAAAAAAAAGAAAAAGAAAAGAGAAAGAGCAAAGAAATGGCTTTAGCTTATGCTTTTAGAGTCTGAATCTTGCTGGTTCACTCACAGGAAGGATGCCGGGGCCTTGTAAGAGGTGCTGAGAAGTTTGATGCTTCTAAAGGTTTCAAGTTCTCAACTTATGCTCACTGGTGGATTAAGCAGGCTGTACGGAAGTCTCTCTCGAATAAGTCAAGGACTATTCGCCTGCCAGTAAGTTATAGTGTTCTGGTCCTAATGCATTGCCATTTGGAAGTGTCAATGACAAATAAGATTCTACCAAATACTTTCATATTGAATCACTTTTTTGATGATAAATGTAGTTAGTATAATACTTTCATATTGTATCAATTTTTTGATGATAAATGCAGTTACTATTGAAGTATGTATCAAATTTGTTAACTTTTTCAATTTTTGTCTTTGCAGATTCACATGGTTGAGGCAACATATAGAGTGAAGGAGGCTAGAAAGCAGTTGTACAGTGAAAATGGAAGACAGCCTGACAATGAAGAGGTTGCAGAGGCAACTGGGCTCTCCATGAAGAAGCTTGCTGACGTTCTACTCGCACCGAAGCCTCCTAGATCTCTTGATCAGAAGATTGGGATCAACCAAAATCTCAAACCTTCGGTCCGTCCTATGTCAAATCTGGCAATTTCTTTTCAACCTGTAATCATTATTGCACTTGATTTTGTTTTGTTTTCTGATGGGACTATGTTAATTTTGTCCAGGAAGTAATTGCTGATCCTGAAGCAGAAACACCAGAAGATATGCTGATCAAGCTGTTCATGAAGAAGGATCTGCATAAGGCGTTGGACGGTCTGCGTCCAAGAGAAAGGCAGGTGATGAGATGGAGGTTTGGAATAGAAGACGGAAGGATGAAAACTTTGCAAGAAATCGGGGAGTCAATGGGTGTAAGCAGAGAAAGAATCCGGCAAATTGAGTTGTGTGCCTTTCGGAACTTGAAGAACAAAATGAGAACAAAACATTTGCACCAATATTAGCTTTCGTATGCCTAAAAAGATCCAGGATTCAGATTACTGATGAACCTACTAGCATCCATAGTTGAGGATCAAAAGGCTTGTTTAAGAAATTCTTATTTCTTTTTCATTAGCCAGCGGTACAAATGTATCTTCCCCTTTAGGTGTACCTGCAAATGTTTGTTCATTGAAAACATAGTTTTTTGAAGCATTTCACAAAATTTTTTTTATGTACCAGAGACATAAAATTCAGGCACCAAAAACAACTTTTTTTTTTCATTACTTAATTGTCACATGAAGGTTATGTTTGATTCAATGTCTGGGATTGTTGTCAATTTTGAAAATAATACAATTCAACGGAAAATTAAAATACTTCTATGTAATCAGAAACAAGTTGCTTAGAATGGCATAACTCTGGTACATCATAACATGGCAAAACATTAGAGCTTATGAATGGTGTATCAAATTCTGAATGCGAAGATTTTAGTTTAAAAATGCCACTTAATTTAGTTGACTGTGTCACTGTTAAACTAGTTGACTTGTATGTTGAATGCGAACAAGTTGAGTTGACCGTACGGTATTAGTTTTTAATATGCAATGAAATTAATTTTTGTGAAATTATAGTTATTATAATGATGAAATTGAATATTATAATAAAAATTAAAATTAAAATTAAAATATGTATTTAAATTTAAATTTGATGATAAAAAAATCTTTTATTTTAATTTTACATTAAAAGAAACAACTGCTTTAAATAGAATAATTAAATTTTTTTAAATTTTAAATAATGTAATTGAAAACCTTTAACTGCGTCCTTGAAGTGCTATCCAAATGCATTATAAGATACAATTGGGAGAAAAAAAGAGCTTAGATTTCATCTCATTAGATCATGAAGAAATTCAAATACACTCTTAATTGTATTGTTAGAAACTGAACTAATGTACATTTCTAAAACTTCAATTGCTATTAAATATTATTTTTCTAATTTGGATACTAAATTATACAATTTAAAATAATTTAAGTGGGATTTTTATAATAAAGTCTCAATTAAAATTAACAAAATGTCTAAAAAAATACACTCCTTGTCAATTCTCCGCGGCATAACGTGTCGGTTTCCCTAGTTGGAGAAAGTTATAGAATTCTCTTAAATTAGGAGCCCAACACGTCAGAATAAATAAATAAATAATAAATAAACAACGCAAATAAATATACACATCAACTCCTCCAAACGCAGAAAAAGTCCAGAAAGCTGTGATTCCTCCTTTTAGCAGAAAAGCAAAAAAAAAAAAAAAGGGGAAATATGGCCCTAAATCCTCAGTTATTCCCAAATGGTATGCCGGTTCCTTTCACCAATGAGATGTTCGTTCTCGTCAGAGATGGCGTTGAGTTCGAAGTAGACAAGATCCCCGGGTACCCTTTTTTTGTTTTAATTTTTAGTTTTCTTTTTAGGGTTTTTTTTTTTTTTTGTTTGGTTTTAGGTAAGAATAAGATGCGGACCTGGTTCAATTCAATTGGTTATGGTTTTGGTATTTTTCAGATCTCAGGGAGGTCGTGTTAAAGCAAGGGGCACAATTTACTTGTCCAATGTAAGGATGGTCTTTGTTGCAAGTCAGCCTGTTGGGAATTTCTTTGCTTTTGATATGCCTCTGGTACGTCATCCTCTCTTTTTTGTTTTGAGTCATAAAATTTGGAGGCGGATAGGCTGCTTCAACACTTTTTCAGGAGCCTAGATATTGCTTGGGGGTTTTTGGTAGCATGGACGAGGCGCCACTGGTGCTCAAACCCAAGGCGTCTTATTATAAGACGAACAAGCTGACTGATTGAATCAATCCCTTGTTGCCCATTAATATTGCCTTCATGTTCATGGCATATGGCTTAGCTTTGCTTCTTTGCATAACATACCTTCTGGCATCTATTGTTCTTATGACAACCACTTTGCTATAGCTTCCTTTGCTTTTGTTGCTTGATAGTTTTTATGTTTGAACTCTAATATTGAATGGCTTATGAGATCTAAGTTGATAAAGTAGTTTTTAACAATGATTCTGTGAGGCATTGCATAATATCAGCCCTAATTTTTAGCTTGGATTTTGGTCTTGGATTTTGCTTTTTAAAACTATAAATTTATTGTTCTGTGTTCATTCTCCAATAATCTGAAGTTATAAAACCCGAGTCAATGTTAAATTGAGCATATGTGCCTTTTGCAGGCATTTGTTTCTGCTGTTGCCACCACTCTTATATCTTTGTTGTCAATCTTTTGGATGAAGTATCTTTGTTAGATTCTCCTGCAGATTGAGACTGATTCGTATATATTGATTTATGTTACTTAATGCAGCTTTATGTGCATGATGAAAAGTTTAACCAGCCAATATTTCACTGCAACAACATTTCTGGTCATGTGGAGCCTGTAAGTAAAATGGAACAACACCTTCTGCTGTTAACTCTTGGCAGATTTTTCAATAGTTCTTGAATATGTCGATTTTACAAAATTTTAGGTAGTTCCAGAAAACGAGCATAGGGCTCTCTACTCCACTCATTCCTTGAAGATTTTGTTCAAAGAAGGTGGCTGTGGAACCTTTGTTCCACTCTTCTTAAACTTGATTTCCTCAGTTAGACAATATAATCAACAAGTAAATCCCGCACCACAACCTCATATGGATCCTTTACAAGCAGCACAAACTCCTGTTGATGAAATGATGAGACATGCGTAAGTGACCTAGTTAGCTACCACATAGTATAGCATGACCGATTTCTTAAGTGTCTTACTAGTAAACTGTTCTCTCTGTTTTTGCAGATATGTTGACCCTAACGATCCAACCAGAATCTTTTTACAACAGCCAACTACAGAGTCTCAGTTAAGGCGACGCACTTACCAATCCCATCCGGTTGAAGGCTCAATGTGATTTTGATCTTAGCCTTTCAAGATCATATTGTAAGAAACTTAAGCAATGTTTATTGTGTTGTGTAATTAATTGCTGCATAATGGCATCACATTATGGTACTATTTCATTTTCTTTGTTGTCCCTTGTCTTTACCAGAATGAGTGAATAACAGTTGCTTGTTTTTGTACGTTTCATGTTAATTTGTTGGTTAGCATTTTGGTTGGTTGTTATTGAATGGGAAATGAAAAAGAGGAAGGAAAAGGGTAAGCTGTGTGAGGCAGTGGAAAGAGGGTGATTGAGAAAGAGGTGAAAAATTGGGGACTAATGAGCAATTGGGTGAAAATAATCAGAGATTAAAGGATTATGAAATAATCATATCATCCAATGCTATACCATATATTTCTTTAAAGCATAAATTTAATTTTTATTTTGTAAATAATAAAGCATAGAAGGGAAAAAAATAAAAATAAAAATATGTGATATTGAGGATGCGAATTTCACCTCGTCTTTCCCTTGCTAATTGAATCAGAATCATTTTTAAGTGATTGAATTTTAATGAACGATTGGAATATAATATATTATCGAATCTAAATGACAAATGTGAGGAAAATGAAATTTACTGACATATTAGTACTTACCGATATTTTAAATAAAATTTTTACATATTTTATATAAATATATAAAAATATTTATATTTATATATTTAAGAATAAAAAATAAGAGTTTTCTCGTCCAAAATTTTTAGCAAGAAAAAAGTTGACAAACTTAAATTTTCAATTGAAGTGATCAATTTATTTTAATTTGATTATTCTTGTTATTAAAAATATATTGATCTATTTCATTTATTTTTTAAAAAAATCAATTAGTTCGATTTTTAATTTTTCAAAATTATATAAACTGACTGCTCACATCTAATTTAACTCAATAAAATTGATAATTTTATGTATATTTATGATCAAAGAATTAAATTTTCGAGAATAAAATAAATTTATTCAAATGAAGTTTGAAAGGATAAGGAACAATAGTACATGCTGGAAACAAAGGCGGCAAAGAAAAGACGGCAAAAGTAGGAAAAAGTAGTTTTAAAAAACTTTGGGACGATTCTATGTAGAGTGTGGGTCGGAGTCAATTCGGGTCCAACTCAATATTCGCCCCCACAAAAAAGAACTCCCTTTAATTTTATTTGGTGTAGAACACCCTTTTATTTGCTACTTCTCTGAGTTACCTTCCCAGCTCAAAATTCGTTGCAAAAGAGAGAGGAAGAGGGAAAAAAAAAAGAAGAGAGAGAGAGAGAGAAGGCTACTTCTTTGTGATATTTTTTTCATTTGGGTTTCTGGGTTTTGTTTAAGAAATGAAAGGAGGAGGGAGGAAAAGGGTAGTACAGAGTGAGGAAGGAGGAGGGGGTGGTGAGAAAGAGAAGAAAAGAGGAGGGAGTGGCGGACAAACAGTGGAAAGTGAAGGACTTAGGGAGAGAAAGAGGGAAGAAGAAGGAGAAGAAGAGGAGGAAGAGGATGAAGAAGATGAAGAAGAAGGAGGAGAAGAAGAAGAAGGGAAAGAAGAAGAAAATGATTATGGAAAAGAGGAAGAAAGGACTAAGCTTGATGATGGGTTCTTTGAGATTGAAGCTATTCGTCGTAAAAGGGTTAGAAAGGTTGGATCTTTTTTTAATTTTTTAGGTTAATTTTCTCTTGAACCAAACAGATGGGACAAAGGGGAAATGGGTTCCTTTGTATCCAAAGTTTAGGCTTTTTGACTTCTTTTTTGGGTTTTTTAGTATCATTTATTTGCTTTATTTATTTATTCTCGAATTTGAGTGTTTGTGATGGAAATGGAGAAACTTTAGGAAATGAGACAATTATAATATGCCATTCATTGCTTTCCTTTTTTGGGGTGGTAGGAATTTTTTTTAACTTTTAGGTTTAATTTTCTCTCTATTTTATTTAATTATGAGTGTTTTTGTGTATAATATAGGGCCAGCTTCAGTATCTCATCAAATGGTGAGTACCCTCTCTCTATCTCTTTAATACTTTTTTTTTTAAAACGGTATGAGTTGTTAGCTTACTTAAGAAATGGTAATTCAAATTATTGATTTTGGGTGATTTTTATCATGTTTTGAAGGCGTGGATGGCCAGAAACTTCAAATACATGGGAGCCATTGGAGAATCTCCTGTCTTGTTCTGATGTTATAGATGCATTTGAGGAAAGGTAAGATTCCTTGATTTCCTTAGCATATTGCTCAAAGCTTCCTCGGCTTTGTATGGTTGCTAGGTAAAAGAAAAGAATATTTTCCCTGTTAATAATGTGTTGATTCATTATTCTTGTTTCATATCCTTTAGACTAGCTTTTTCATCGAGTAGCCAAAGCAGGCTTCATTGTTAAGTTATTGATTGGTGTTATAATCTATTTGAGTGGCAAGTAGTTGAATTAGTTTAAGTCTTATTGAACTATTTGGTTGAGTTGTGCCTTCATTGCCTTTCACTTCTCCTCAACTTTCTAGGCAAATAGGGTGTACAAAACCAGTTTGTCTTTTCCATATCAACATGTCTTTAATTTCCTTTGTATTTGAAGCTTGAGTTCGGGGAAGCACAATCGAAAGCGCAAACGCAAGTATGGTGGTCCTCATATACAGTCCAAGAAGAAGCAGCTGCGTTCCTCCATTGCTACATATAATGCCACTGGTCTTGTTGTTGATAAGTCTTCCATGGTTCCTTTTGACATTTCAGATATTGCCGATCTTTCTGCCGCAAGTCCAGTTACAGTGCCAGCACATGAGGGAGTGAGTAATGGAAATGTCAACAATCTTAAAAAACCTAAGAGGGTTAAGGAGAATGGATCTACAAATGGTTCAAAGCAAATTGATGAAAGGAAGGATGAAAATGATTATGATACCAAGCTTAGTGAGCTAAAAGGAGCAATATCTTCCAATGGGATCAATGCCGATAAGCTTGCTATGCGGTTCCAAGGAGGCAAGATTTCTGAAGGTGATGGCCTTGCTAATGGGCTACCAAAGGTTGATCAAGTGGAATCCGTTCAGAGTGATCGTCGCACAGGGGCTAAAAGAAGGAAGTCTGGTTCTGTGAAGAGGTTTAAACAAGATCTATCTTCCTCTGGATCTAATTTGACTCAAAATGCTACATCAAATATCCATGTTGGCAATGGAATTACAGATGCACAGATAGGAATTGAAAATCTTGGTTTAACAGCTAATGGTTTGAGTCATGGGCCCCTGATTGATAATTCTGTAAATGTACCTGTCATAACCAAGATCCTCAAACCTGTGGGCTTTTCAGCTTCTGTATCAGACAACAATCAAGATGTGTCAGTAACCTTCTTGGCAATCAGGTTTGTTTTCAAACTCTAATGCAGCCATCATTTTATATGAAAATAATTCTCTATGCTTCTATCTTCCAAACAAAAGCTAAAATAGAATCTACTATTGTGGTAAGTGTGCAACTTTTTACAGGACAAACAAGAAGAGAAAACTTTTGCATTTAATGAATCTCGCAACCACTTTTCCAACATATGCCATGATATTAGGTTCCATAACTATCTGAGCTAATGATGTGTTTTCTTATGTTGTTATGATTGTTTTTCTTTTCTATCTAGAAGTACATGCAATGCAAATAACTTTCAAAACAGTCTGTATATAATTGCTTACCTTTGTACCTTAATTTGCTGATTTATATCATCTTGAAATTATATCTATATATTGCTTAATACTTTTTTAGGCAGAAACTTCTAACCTTCTATGATATTGTACATTAAGATCATGAAAAAATTTAATTGTTCTACAAAAGTTATGAAGTTTGTAGTTTGGCTGACTGAGAAAAGTATTTTGGCTTCCTCTTGGTGGTAGGTATTATTGGATGGGAGTGTGGTACTTTCTTGTGTAAATTATTATGGGATGTATTAACACTTAATGTACGTTCATATTGCTCTTTAGAGCTTTAGTTGTTGTTGCAGCATTTTACTTTATTTGTGCCTGTATTTGACCATAGTGTTTAAAAGAACGTAAAGGAAAAAAAATGTTCTACATGAGTTTCTGGCTTGACTTTAGTTTAAAATTTGGGAGAATGTACTACACTTCATTAAGAATTATGGGCTGCTTCTGTTTCCATGTGTAATTTTCAATGGAAAGTGTACATTCTTCATGGTTGACAATTGAAAGATCTTTTCCAAGAGAATGGTAACTTTATGGTGACTTGAAATTAAAGTCCTGATCGGTGAGCAGGTAGCTGCTTTGGACATGACAAGAATGATATGAAAATGTAGCGTGCTTTTATGGATTTCAGCTGTAGAGCGTGACAGATAGGAAATTGCACTTTTGGGGCCTTTTATTGAAAAATTAGTGATTGTTAATTATTTAAGAATTGATAGTGGAAAATTTTCTCAAACTTTGATAGTTATGATTCTTATTTCTTTTATATGTTTTATACAGCATGTGTGGACTTGTTTTATAGGAATCAAATTGCAAATTTAGCTATTGCGTTGGTCCAAGGGTAGCCTGATGGTAATCTTAATTCTTACCTAAATATGATGGTGTTGAGTGTATAAATGACCCAATTAAGACTTATCTTTTTGGCTGTAGGAGAATTTTACACATTGGTAAATTTAAGATGAAGCTTTTCTTGCTCCTGAGAATTGTATATTGGATTTGAAATTGATGTTGGTATCAAAGTGAGTGGTGGGCTCTGAAAAAGGAGCTGTTTTTGTGATATGAACTGTTAGAATAGTGCAATTTCTGGGTTTTGCTTTTAATTTTAATTGGAAGATAAGCTTGCTGATCTTTGATGTGATTGTGTTGTTTGAGAGTGCTCAAATTGATGCTGCACTTGAAGTTTCCATTGTCGATGATAAATTTTGTTTGGTGCATTTTTTGACAGGTCTGATGGAAAAGAGGTTATGGTGGACAACAGATATCTTAAAGCTAACAATCCACTTCTGGTAATTGATCATTGTCTTGCCTGACCTTTTTCCTAGTCAATTAACATTGGCTCTAACAGCTAACACTTCTTGCACTTCTTGTCTCTTTTTCTTCTGTGCCAGTTGATCAACTTCTACGAGCAACATCTTAAGTATAGTCCTCCATCTTGATCACTGAGGCTTAGTTAGAGTGTTGGTGTAGCTAGAGCCAGCCATATTTGTTTTGTTTTGTATACGTGTTGTAACTTAGTTGCACGAGATAGATCAGGATAGTATGTGCTGTCTCAGTTTCGTACTGCCATGCGGAGTGATGTAGCTGTAGATCTCTCACTCTCTCTCTTGCTATGTATGTATGATTAGATAGCTGTATCCTGCCATTAGTGTGTGTTAATTGGATATTTAACACGGTTAGAAGTAGTGAAGTTTTGTCTGACAAAGTTCAATGAAGCCTAACATTTTTTGGCCTGAATGAAGCTTACATGAGTTACATCTTTTTCTGTCTCTCCACCTACACCACACGAGGAGCTTGGCATGGCGTCCTGGTGATGAAATCTATTTTGCATATTTGGTTCCGAACGCATGTCCTTGTACCTGTGACTTGTTTATTTTTCACGGAATTTGCTAGCATATTTGCTTGCCATGGCAGTGTTTCATCCTTGCGATCGTATAGGAATATTGCACTGTTCTAAACTTGCACTGTATGGAATCTTTTCAGTCTATGCTACATTTGTGGCTAACTAAGCTGTATTTATATATTTTTAGTGAATTGTTTGTGCATTACCCGATTTAGGATTTGGTCAAACGAAACTTGAACTTTCATGTGATTATTAACCAAAAAAAAAAAAGGATTATCAAATTGTTTGAATTCCATTACAACAAACTTTTCTACTCTCACGGTAAAGAAGATTGCGCTTTGCATTTCAAAATCCCAGAACAAAAAGAAGCGGAGGGCCATCTCCATTAGTACAATCTCTAATGGTGGGAGTCTTAGGATCGGTGATCTTTGGTCCTACTCTGCTGTCTATTCTAGAGTTAGTTTGCCTTGTTTCAAGCAGGAGGCTCTGATAGTGGCAGTTTTTATGTAGTGATAGTGCTTGTACTTCTTTACCATTGGTCCTTGTGCAGCAGCTTTCAACGTTCTTCCTACTCTACGTTTGTTTAGCTCTCCTCTTCAGCAAGCAGGTAGCTCTGCCATTGAAGATGGGTTTGGATGGGGAACTCTACTTTTAGTTGTGCTCTTCTTAGTTCTGTATAATTTTTTGGTGAGTTTGAGCCTTGCTTCTCCCATCTGAAACTGTCTCTGGAGCATTGCGGTTGTTTGCTTGTGTTTGTGTGTAAAGCACAATAAAGACATGTATAAACTAAAACTTGCCAACAGCTGTGTGAGCTGTTCGTAAAGTAATGGATTTTTCATTTTAATGATCAGGAAATTTATTGTTCTTTATTTCCCCTTCCTTTTGCATGGACGAAGTTTGGTGCTTGATTCGTCATTGATCTAAGCATGTTGTAAGTCTGAGGATTCAAAACCAAGTTAAACAAAATATAAAGCATTGCTGTCCTACTCAGCTTTTACCCTGTTGGTGTCAAAATATGTTAAGGGAAGCATTTGAAAGCAGCCAGGACAGTCTTCCGAGATCATGGCTTTGGACGTTGTCGAAAAATTGAAGAAATAAAATGAAAGGCAGGGCTGAAAATGGATATGAGGTTGAAGTTAAGATAAGGACAAGGATGAAAAAACCAGCGGGGAAGCAACAACTGAAAGCATTCTCATCAACGTTTATATTGCAGAAAATTTCGATATATTACATCAATAAGAACACAACCCAAAACCACACAAAATTATTACTATTACAGTACAGATGGAATAAGTTGCAGTCTTATTTCAGTGTACGATAAAATTCAACAGATAAAGAAAAACAAGGTCAGATTCAGAGAATATTTTCAGGGGGAATCATTGTTTTGAAATTTGTCAGTTGCCATTTAGTCATGCTTGTCTCGTGATATGTAGTGATGAGAAAATTGAAGTAGCCAGACTAAGAACTGTTCGTTGGCTGAATGTGAGGAAAATTCAATATATGAGACCTTTCGTTGGCTGTATTCTACAATTTAGCAGAGGGAACACATGCACTGAGAACATTTAATAAAATTGACTGATCAGTTTTAAGAACTTCATAAATTGAGAAGCCATTCCCAAATTCAGGAATCAACTCAGAAAATGGTAATTTCTACTTAAAATCATACACCAAAGAATGCACCAAAAGATTCAACAACTGAAAAACTAAATTTCTAGTACAGAGAGCAAAAAAGTTATACAGGATTTAGCATTTTCAATGATGCAAGACTAACCGGAACATGAAACTAGTTCTTTGGTATGTTCTTTCCAACAATCTTAGCTGGAGTTATACGTAGCAGATTTCCTGGCTTACCAGGGACAGCACCTTTGATCATCACAACTCGAAGTTCATTGTCAATTTTCACTATCTTGAGCTTTCGGATCTTTCTTTTGCATCCTCCCATCCTGCCAGGCATTTTCTTCCCCTTGTATACACGGCCAGGTGTTGTTCCAGCACCAATAGACCCCAACGCTCTATGACTCTTGGAACCATGGGTCATTGGACCTCGTTTAAAATTATGGCGCTTTATTCCACCTATGTAAAAATTAGGGAACAAAATTATGTTACATATTAAATTCCGCCAATGGGGAATTTGAATTGCCAAAACAGCAAGACCCACATCACGAGCAAAGGAAGTTCAAAATCTTTGAAGAAAGTCTTAGCATTTCTTATTAAAATGCTAAACACAAGGTAAAATGAGCCAAATAATATAATTAGAGAATATACCAACCAAAAAACATATATATATATATATATATGTATATTTCTAGATACCCATTTGAACTTTGCAATTTGATCAACATAAGATTGTAAGTCAACAACACCAGCAAACATTTATGATCAAGTTATGATTCACACAAAAAAATTCACTTAAAATTGCATATAAGCATAATATGTTCTCATATAAAACACAGGGAAACTATTCACCAGAACCATGAAGCAGCAGCATCAACGGACAAGCAAAAGCTAATGCAGAACAATAGTAGCACTAATTTACAATCAAACAGCTGCAAGATTCAGCAATCAAGCAATGTGCTGCAACCAAACAATAATGACACCAAGATTGTATATCACAGAAGTGATTGCTGTATTAACTGCAGTAAATGCAAATACAATCTGCAAAATAAATCTTAGGAGCATTCTCAGCAACATGTTAAGAGAATGCAATCTCAAGGTCAACTCTAGGAGCTGTCTACAATCCTTATTTCTTGTAATTAGGATCTTAGTCTTTATGGTGTTATACTCTCCATTTATATGTAATCGGTGTATATATGTGTACAATCAATCAATAAAAATTAAGCTATTTCAACACCTCATTGCTCAAATCTTATAGGCTTTAGATTTGGAAGATCAAACTTTTGCTGATCCTCCAACATCTCCAATAAAACACAGGCAAAAACACAACTTTCATAGCAATATCCCTAGAACCATAACACAATACCATCAATTAATCATCACCTTCCAAATGCAACCAAAAAGAATTAAACAAAAAATCTAACCTTGAAATCCTTTCCCGATGGTAGTCCCAGAGACGTCAACAAGATCACCTTCCTTAAAATTCTCTTCAATAGCTAACTTCTGACCAACCTCAAACTCCTCCACAGTTGGCAACCTAAACTCTTGCAAATGCCTCATGGGAATAATACCACTTTTCTCCAAATGACCCAACTCAGGCTTTGTCAACTTCTTATCTCTAACTCTCCTATACCCAACTTGAACAGCATCATAGCCATCAGTAGCCGAGGTTTTAACTTGGGTCACTATATTTCCTTCTCTAAAACCAACGACAGTTACTGGAACAACTGTGCCATCAGTTTCAAAGTAAGTCATCATGCCAAGCTTTGTGCCCATTACTCCAATGCCTGCTTCCATGCTCATTGAGACCACATGGGAAAATGACCTTTTTTGGGTGGTTTTGAAGGCAAAAGAAAACTGGGTTTTTGTGGGTTTTGAGAGAAAAGAAGATTTGAGGGAGAAAGGAGGAGACTTTTGGCAGCAATGGCCTAAGGAAGGGAGAGATAAGGAAGCAATTGGCATAGTATTTTCTGCGTTTGGTTCGGAAAAAAGAAAAGTAAGAAGAAAATAGGAGAGAAAAAACTCAGAAAAATGGAAACCTAATGGCCCCTTATCCTTTGTGGGAAAATTGGGAAGTGGGACGCAATCTAGTGCTGTTCAAAGCATGGGATAGTTCATAGGACCATTGGTTTTTGAAGAATTTTTTATTTCATTTTTATTTTTTGATTGCTTATCCTAACTTAATTACCTTTTAGATATTAATCAAAATTTTTTTATCGTTACGGTTTAATTAAATCTTAATTCTTATATTTATATCATATAAAATATTAAAAATTTATAAATTTATATAATATTTTAAATAAAAGTTTTGTATTATAATTTATATTAATATAAAAATAAAAAGTCTCATAGAATGATACCTTATAAATATTTTTCAATAAAATCTAAAGGAACATAAAATATTAATAACGAATAATTATCAATGAATATAATTAAAACTGTTTCGAAGTGGGAAAAGTTCCGTTAGAATGATACCTTATAAATTGAGGTGCTCCAATGATATTTTCTCTTTCAAAGTTAGAGAAGAGAAAAAATAAAAGAGAAAAGAAAATAATGAACAATCACAAAAAATAATTTACAATAAATTAAAACAATCATGCTAAACATCACCAGTCACCTTCAAGCTATCCTAGGAATGGTTTTAAAGCGGCTTTGGAAATCGCTAATCCGATGAGGGAAGCCGGAACCGAATAAAACAGCTTAAAGAAATTAAATGCAACAGCAACTTAATAATAAGCCTTCACCTTTTCAATTTCAGGTCCTAAATCAATCGAAAGGTTAGTAGGACTAATCCTCGCATCATTTCAAACTAAAACACCTTAGGGAAACATATTTGCAATTTTTTTGAACGAATTAACAGGACATAGCAGTTCACTCACAAGTTTCTTGCATCAATGAATTTGATCCTTTTCACCGACTTGTTATGACCATGACAAAACAGAAAGGCAGATAATGAATCAGTAAGATTGAACAAATAATGTCTCAATGAAACCAAACCATTCTACTACTTTATTCTATGCACTTTGACATAAAACTTGGACAAGAAGTGCAAATAAAGGAATTTGCATGCCTTTTTCTTCTCAGAGTAAGTGTTATGAGCAACTTACACTTTGAGTAGGGTTTGAAGTGAAGTCTTCAAGCTATATGATAACAAAAGCAACAAAGTTAATTAAGGCTGTTTTGAATTATACATAGGTATCAAATAAATTTATTGGAGCTTTTTTTTTTTTTTTTGTAAAGAATAATAAAATCATAAGGTAAAAATGAAAAATAAATAAAAAAGATAGCAAAAACATGTTGACCAAAGAGAGTTTAATTGCTTTTGGCCAAAACAACAAAGAGGGATAGCTTAATTGCTATTCTTTTGAGCCTTTGATGTTATTTTTTTCAAATTTGGTATCTAAACTCATATTATTTTCTTTAATTTATTATTGAAAATTATATGAATTTTAAAATTTGTAATTGAATTTGTTTTGCTTGATATAAGATTTTTTTATTAAGTGTTAATTAATTGTTTGAAATACTAGCAATCAATTTGATAAAATGAGAAATTTTCATTAACTCAATACCCAAAATATCATTAAGAAATATTGTCATATTAATAGGAAAAAAAAAGAGTTTCCAGCTTCAGATTTCCCTTTTTCCGATTCTGCAAATTGTTTTGATCATTAAGCACTGCATTCCTAGCATTGAGGGATGCAAAAGCAAAAAAAATGTACATGATCATCCAAATTTTGAAAAAATAAAAAAATTTAAAGAAAAAAATTTTCCTGACACTCAAAATTTTTCAGGGCTTCAAAATTTTGTGTAATCACTTCATTCATTCAACATCAGCCAACACTCAACACGCAATGTAATACATCAAGAGAGTAGTGTTAAGAGAGTTGTTCTTGATATCAGCAACGGAAGCTGATATAGTGTTAGAGAGTAGCCAAGTGTCGGAACCTTCCAGCTCTAGTTCCAGGCACCCTTTGGGTCTGGGTTCTGGCATTGTCCCTACCATCGAGAATGTGGTGTCGACTGTGAAGCTGGGTTGCGAGCTGGACCTCAAAGCCATTTCTCTTCATGCGTGAAATGCTGAATACAACCCCGAGAAGTTTGCTGCGGCATGATGAGTATAAGGTGCCCAAAACCACTGCTCTGATATTCTCTTTTGTCAATATATGGTTTGCTACATAGCCAAAACCGGGCAACAATTTGTAAGCATGGTCGGATCATTCAAAAGCTTGGTTTTGATGTTGAGTACAAAGATTTCAAGATTCAGAGCATAGTTGTCTCTTGTGATTTTACATACCCTTTCAGTCGTACACAGCTTGCGAATTCTCACAGCAAGTTTTCAATATTTGAGCCAGAGTTCTTTCCTGGATTGATTTATCAAATGAAACAACCCAAAATTATGGTTTGGTTTTTCCTTCCGGAGAGATTGCTATTGCTGAAGCTCAGAAGAGAAATGAAATTTTCAAAGCCTTTGAGAACATATATCCAGTTTTTATGTCTTTCAGGATGGACAAGCAAATGAGTTCTTGAAGAAGACCTGATAGGGTTCTTGGAGAAGAACACAGTAAATAAATTTTCAAACTCCATGGCAACAAAACTCTGGGTTAAGATTGCAGAATAACTGCTGTTTAGATACACTAAGCAGACAGCACTAACAGCAACTGAATGCTGCAGATGGATGTTACAAACTCTTCCCATTCTTTAACTTGTTGACTAAGCATTTTAATAGACATCATCTTTCTGTACTGAGACATTCATTTCAAATCCAAATTAGATGCCCAGGACACACTCTGTCAGAACATATACCACCCATGTGAATATAAAATACAATCTTGCTGTTATTCTATAAAACCAGCACTTTCCACTATGAAGCAAGAAGCATAGCTCTCTTGCCCATCAACACTGCTCATCTTGAGCCATCAGAACCCTGTGAAGGACGAATCTCCTCGGGAGCTGATGCATTGCGCAAAGCTCTCCCCATCTGAATTGCAACAGAAGGGCATTGCCCGGTGCTTGCTGGAGCTGCATCCTCAGTAGCAGCTTTTAAGGCATTCTTTTTCTTCGCCTTCTGTGCCCAACCAACAAGGCCTGCTTGTATGTGCTCGTCAAATATTGCCTTCTTGAATGAGCTTCCCATCTTCAATTCCATAGGAAAGGCATGTAAATTGGAGTTCCAGATAAGGAATTGAAGTTTATGGTTACAAGAGACTCAACTAACCTGTGTGACAATGGCATAAAGTGGCAATGTGCTATAACTACATAGTACCTGAACGAAAACCCTGAAGGAACAAACAGAAAATAAAAAGCTTAGCAACACAATCATAATGCACATATAATAATATTGATAGAAGAGGAAAAATTTTAAAACCAACCAAAATCTAACAATAGCATAAAGGGATTGGTCATTGGATTTTACCCTATAACAAGTCTTGGAATGATATAACCAATTTGACCCATTATGCAGGAATCAAATCCAAATTGAACCTATAGATGATGAAGAAAGTATCATTATGTCATCACAATTACTATGTGGTTCATATGGCAAAATAGTGGTCTAAAATATAAGCTTACCCATATCCAAAAGAAAAATGCAATCTCAAAAGCATTTTGGAAGAGGATAAAATGGATCAAGAAGAGGATAATACGAGGCTTGTTGAACCAAAAGTGTTCATCTGATGGTTGAACCACTAATTCCCCTTCAATAGCTACATGTTTCTCAGCAACCTCGTGAGCCAACTGGGTAATCACATGCTCGAGCTTGGTGCCCACAGCAAGTAGAAGCTGGAAAATAAATAAATAAATGCAAAAACAGAACAGGTAAGCAAAAAAGAACTTGTATATAAATAAAATTCTACATTGTGGACAGCTTTCTTTGATGCATGTAATGGGAGGACATGATCACTACCTTCTAATGTCAATGAATTTCTCATGTTACTGAGTTTCATTCTTTTGCATTTTATTATAGTACTATGAGGATCATTGTTGACAAAAATTGATCTTGACAAGTAGAATGAGATTCCGTCATCCCATTAATCGGTTTCTCAAAAGATTTAACAGAATATGGATCAGATTATTTGAAAATTTTTTAGCCTATTCAATTATCTCTTCCATTTTGGAATCACAGCAATTAGTTATATTTTGTGTAGGTAGATATGTTTTTAGTTTTGTTCATGTATATATGTGTGCATAAGAAACTGTACTAAAACTACTCACAATAAAAGGAATGAATGCTATCCAGAAATATGTATGCCAGCCTGCAGAAGAAAATTGAGAAAATGTCATCATTATACATGGTATATTAATGGTAGGTAGTATAATCTCAACAAAAACATCTATTACATGCCATAGAAGCCCAAAAAAAAAAAGGTTCATATTATAAGAAACTGCCATCATTGTTATTTTTCATTCATTACATTGGAAAGATTAAAATATAACCTAAACTTTAGAAAAGAGAACAAATAATAATAGCACCACCAGACAACACAGTTCTATATTACCAACAATGTAGTCCCACATTAAATAGTTAGAAGTGCTATGAGTTGGCATAACACATGCAACCCTTTCTGAACTATTAAAAAGAAAATTCTTATCAGAAGAATAGCTTTTTTGACAAGATTGTGAACAGAATGAACATCAAAACATGATAATGCGATCAGCATAAGGCATCAAGATTAAGTTAATTGCCAATAATCAATGGTATCACATACCATTAACATTCAGCAACAAGAAGATGACCACAAATACCCAGAGATACCAACTGCAAATGAACAAATGAAACAATAAATCAAAAAGAATTATCATGTAAACATGATTTAAAGTCAGAACTTACAAATACCTATTTGATGTGTGCAAGAAAAGAAACCATATGACACATAAATCTTCACATATATACTCTCAAACATCACTTGCCTTATACCAACAACATGCTTAAAATCATCTTCTAAGGCTCGTATCATGTATTTGTGAAAATTAAACTTGGGATTCGATTTGCAATGTCTCTGCAATAAAAAAAGTAAATATTGGTAATTGGCTATGACAAGGAATGACATTACAACCATAACAAAGTTCTGCAAGACAGCCAGTTTTGCACAGAAAACTTACCATGATGAAACCCAGCCTTAGTGTCACGTAATCTGATTTGGTCACAGATGCATAGAATTGCTTAAAAAATGAATGCTGTAAGAAAACAACAGGAAAATGAAGAAGAAGATCAGAGTCATGGTTAGCAGAAGCAGACAAACTTCTGGTTTTGAAAAAAATGTTTGAGGCTCAATTAATATTGCTTCTTATTGGATGTCTTTAGTGTTCAAAATTATGAAAGAAAAGTGAGACCAGGGAGACAAAGATACCTGACAGAACTAAAAGCTTTTATTCTTTGAAGGTAACTAAACAGGGCAGGGGTAAAGATATTCATTGAAAGCAGAAACAAACCCAATTTAAGTATGACCTTCACTCGTACTCCCCGTCTTATGAGGCACAGCATTACTTCTTATTAAACTATAGTATTTCTTCCATTTTGTCCAATACCAAGTTAGAAAACTCTTGAGGAAAAATAATCCTTCCCTTGAGAATTGAAAAACATATTATAGGAGGATCAATCATAAACTTATCAACCAAAAGAGGCAGAAATGAGCGCAAGCATAAGCACAGACACATTTATCTAATAAGCATACCAAATTCCAAACAATGGCAAACCAAAAGGCAGGCCTATGCCCAATTGATATTTAACAAAATAGTTGCCATAAGACCATCAAGACAAAACCCCAACTCCACCCACAAAAAACAAAACCTAGGCCATGGACAAACAGTGCATATTTCTCATATATAAAGCAATTTCAAGGTCTACCTTTTCTCTGACATGCATATTTCATGCCAATTCTCACACATGACAGGCAAGGGAAGAGGGTGCATAAAAAAAAGAAAGAACAGTTTAGAATCAACCCTTTTGGCCTTTTCATTAAGTTCAATTGTTATAGATGTAAAAGGCAAAATTATTGTATCATAACTCATAAATGGAATAGCAGCTTACCAACCACCCTAGCAAAATAAAGTCTTTACCAATACCCAGAAAATGCTCTTTGATAAAAGTATGCTGATGGACATGAGTGACTTTTTTCAACACTGCACTAACAGAGTACAAAAATTAGAAGCACCAAAGACAAAAATGGACTAGCAGTAGCAGGTCACATTAGAGACATATACTGCATAGTCTATTGACTTTGAGATAAGGCTTCATTAAGTTTGCAGTCCCATTAACAATACCCTAGGGCAATACTTCTATAGGCCTTGAGCAAGATTCTGAACACGCATGTCCATGTGTGCACTGAATAATTAAATGATATCATGGAAAATAGTGAGCATTTAGATTGGTATTGATCCTTACTTTGCTGTGGATCATAATTCTCTTTTGCAATTGAATCTTCCCAATGTTTCCATTGACGTATCTACATCAACAAACAATGTCTTTTAATGAAAGGCAGAGAAAAAAAAATGATTGGAAAAGAAAATCAACTCTACCACATAGAAATAGTTGAAGAATAAGCAAATGAAACCTATTAGACTGCTTACCTTTAGCCCTCCAAAAGAAACTGTGAGAACACAGAATGTCACATGGACAATGGCCAGGACGAAGATAAAAATATGCAGATGATGTAGCGCTTCAACAGACAACAAGGGTACCTTACCCTGAAGCACAAAAATATGGAAATAAAAATGTCTGTCTTTAAAAGAAAAAGAAAAAAGAGCCAGAACCTGTATTACTGTACTCAATATGATACATGGGATTGTTTTGGAACCCTAGATGCATTTGATACACTATCGATGCCTCAGTTTAACCATCAGAACTATAATATTACTCTCATCAGGATTTCCTTTCTAACCATGACAATAGATACAATAATTCCTTGTTTTTCCTTATTTGAACATATAAAGCAAGAGTTATCGACAATAAAGCACACATAAGATTAACAACCATTGATTTGGTGATGGGCAACTATGTTACCTTCTCACTACAGTATCCCATCTGGGAAGACGTAGATGCTTCAGCCAGTAGGCGCCTGGTTCCCCCTGACAGGGTGAAAGCAAAATACTTTTGAAAATCTGATGTTGTAGAAGTACCACTGTTGTGTTCAATTTTACAAGGAAGCATGTGTGTTAATGCTTCCCTTGACATGCAGATTTTAGAAATTGCACTCTGAAATACTGTCAGCAACAGTGATATAAACCCCAACAGCATCAACTCTGTCGAAAAGAAAAAAACCCATTTCAAGGTTACAATTTGGAAAATAGCAAAAGAATTTCTCTATGGCAATACATTTAAAATCAAACAAATGAAAAATCGAGAGAAAAAAGAAATGGTTTACCTTCTTTGACTTTCAAAAGAGCCTCAAAGAGTGGTTTCTGTTGTTTCTTCTTCAAAACAGTCCCAAGATAATGAAGCAAACGCTCCATGGCCAAAGAGATGGCAACAATCACCGTGCAAACTGCTGCTATAACCCATGTTGGTGTGTACTCCAAGGTTGCCCCCTCTCCGCCTTCACCCATTTCTCACCAAAGCTTCTTTCTTTACCTTTCTTCCTTTTTTTTTTTCTTGTCAAAAGTGTAACTATTATTGGTTTGGTTCTCTCCTAAGTTCTCAGGAGAGAGAACCAAAGGCCAACCAATCTTGTTGACTTAAATTATCTATCAGTTTTTTAAAGTGATACTGGATTATAACAACAGTTTAATCAGATTTTTTAATATTAATATAATTTAACAAAGATATTATAATTGTTAGTTTTTGAAAGAGAACGACCTCTCTTTTGTTGGGTACTGTAATAATGAAATGTTTATGTGATGAGGTTTCATATGGTATGCATGTGACTTTTTTTCAACTCAAAATTATTACTTTTTTATAAAAAAAAAATGTATATTTTGTAATACTATAATATTTTAAGGATTTGTTTTTAGTTTTATTACATAACAACAAAGGGAACCTAAAGGGTCAAGAAAAACAAGAGAACCCACTGATAGCAATGGAGCAAAGGATTTGGTTCACTCAGATATAGGGTTGGGAGTTGATGATTGGGGTTAGATTTGATCTTGAATAGATGAAAAATGGGTCATGGTTTGTTCTGACATTTGATTTTAAGTGATTTTTTGTTTTTATTTTTATTTTTTTTCTCTTTCTTGCTTTTGAGATTCCATTTTTTTTGGTGGAATATTGTAGGAAAGGAAGTCATGATAATGCTACATTTTGGGGTTTGTGAATAATTTGTCAAACTTTTCAACATTTTCATTGTTTTTTCTTTTTTTTTTCATAATTTTTTATAATAAATAAATTAAAGTAGTAGTGAAAGATCTAGTGAAACCAACAAGGTGAACTGTAACTTTTCTTCACCTAAAAAAAAAATAATAATAATAATAAAGCAAGAAGAAGTTTATACAATATTTGTAACATGAAAAAGAAAAATGAAAAGAAAAGTTTACCCTTTTTCTCTTTCAATGAAACAAGATTTGGTACATTTGATTTCTTACAAATCTTTTTAATTGATGGTTGTTGGTATGATCTGGATCAGACACCTTTCCTATGAAGTTAAAGCCTTGAGAACATGAGAAGGCAAATCAATGTTGTGGCGCAGAAGTCAATGCTTTGTTCTTCTTTTTTATATTGTCTTTTGTTTGTTTTTAAGGATTTTGCTTTGATCTTTTCTCTTTTGTTCTTGCTTTTACTTTTTGGAATATTTTGTGGCTTTTTTCATGGTTTTATCTGAGTACTATTTTATTACTGTACTAATCTTAAGACTTTTTCAACATGGCTCTAAATACAATTGATATTTAAACGAAACGCGTTTTACTCTATTTATTATCGATACGCGTCTTACTCTATTTACCATGGGCAACAACGAATTAGGTAGGGATAAATATTTTTTTTAGTGAATTTGATTTGATTTTATAAATTTAATATTTAAATTTAATTTGATATTAAAATATTATATTTATATTTAATTTATTTTATATATATTTAAATTTATAATCGATTCAAAATTTATAAAATATTATTTTTTAAATATAAATATAAAAATAAATAAATAATAAAAAATAATATATATAAGATCGAATTAAAATGAGTTTACATAGAATTCAATTTTAACTTTTTGTTAAAAATGTCCAACTTTAAATCTAATTTAAAAAAAATTTAATTTTATAAAATTAATTAGATCGAATCAAATGAAATGAATTATCAACCCTACTATTTACTAATTGTTTATTTAAAGAAAATTTGTAGTTTCTTTCTTTTTCTCAAAACAATCAACAAATCCTTTGACTAAACTAAGCATATTGATTGACTAATTGATTTATTTATTTTCACGTCGATAGCATTTATAATCATCCTTTCTGCTTACCGTTTGTGCATTTATATTTTTATTTGCTTTTCTTTTTATTAACGAAACAAAGAAATGATGGTATTCTACAGAAGAAAGTGATGATTATTGATTTGCTTTTCTTTTTCCCGTTCTTTCAAGGCAAACTATAATCAAATGCTGGAAAATAACACTAACAGAGCAAAAGAGAGGCCCAACGATTTGACAAATACTCTTGAAAGCGTATGGATGAAGTTTAGGGCTCTTATTATTATATTAAAGTATTTTTTTGAGTTTGGACTTTGGACTCAAAAAAGAATAATTACCAACAACTTCTTAACAAAAAGAATAAAGAGAAATCATGAAAAGTTGTAAAGCTTGGATTCCACTTCAAATAATTCTATTCTCCATATATATATAAAGAAAAGTAATTAGTAATAATCATATAATTATTAACTTAATCCCTTATTTGTTTTAAATCTTAAGGTTTAAAAAGAAGAGAAAATAATTATTAAAATCTTGACATGATATCGAGAAAATAAAAAATTATAAATTTCAGTGAAATTTAAAATTATAAATAGTCCTTATAATTAATAATAAAAACAAGCACACTTTGTGTTTGGCAATTTCATCTTAATTTGTTTCATCCATGATATTGTCGTGAGCCGTGATTTTGGGAACTGACATTACGCGGCTATTGGCAAAGATGATTTTCTTTTAAATTTTAAAAACAAAGTATATACAAAATATTCGGCTTTACAATTCTCTTCCCGTCATATTTCTGACCAACTTGAAACCCTCATGTTGAGACCAGCCACTCTTGAGAAAAACAGCTTCTTTTCCGGCCTCCTTAATGCAAAGACAGAACAGACAGGATAGACAAAATTTTGGGAAGAAGATCCCAAAAATAGGGAAAAAAGGGGTTAACAATATATTAAAAAATAAAGCTACCCCTAAAATTTGCCAAAATTGTGGTCCTGAATTAGATATGTACATTTTGTACAGAGGAGAAGCTGGCTTCAACCAGTTAGCTTGGATATGAACTGTGATCCCAGAACTCGACTGGTGGACCAGGACTAGGCATACTCTTTCAACCGTGACCAATTAAGTTCAGGTCTTTGCGCAGGTTGAGTTCAGCCATTAAGTTTTGCTACGAACTGGCTTAAATTATATTCCTCTGTGTACTGTGATTGATCCCAAAGCTCCTCCAATCCACCAAGGATGGCTTTTAACCCCTTCCCTCTACCCATTAATTTCGGGTCTCCATCTATACTGCTCTCTGAACGTTTCGAGGCAGTAGCTCCCTGCAAATCAAATTCGTTCATATCAGATACCTCATGAAAACTAAGGAAAGAGCTTGAAAATTCAGTAGATTCCATTGATTCAACATAAGAAAAACTTCAAGATCTAATTCCCATATGAGGCCACTGAGGCCAACTATAGTCAGACATGGCATGGAAGAAATAGGGAAACCAAAAATAACTTGCAAATGTATCATTATGCTATCAAATGTAAAAAGTCCTAAAAAAACCTTTTTAGATGTTTCTGCTGAGGCAAATAGATCAAGCAACTGATCAGTGTTCATGGTTCTCAAACTGGCATTCTCAGCATTGATAACAGCATTGGCAATTGATATTTTGAAACGTTGGAGGCTCATAACTTTCTCTTCCAGGGTGCCACGCATGATGAGACGATGGACATTCACAACTTTCCGTTGGCCTAATCTGTGTGCTCTGTCCATTGCCTGAAAGTGCACAAAAGATATACGTCATTAAAATCATTAGTGAAAGTCAAATATAAAAAAAGCACAGTTCCTTTCAATGAACACAGTAAGCTGCAAAGTTTAAGTAAAAGGTTAAAACAATTTAAGACAATACGCAGGAGAACATGCATCTGTTCATATTTCCTGAAAATTATAATGACAAAAGAATAAATAAACAATAAAAAAAGGCTATCATTAAAAGCATAAGCATAAGCAAAAGCAAACAATCATAAAGCCAGAATTCTCATCTTTGATTATCCTTGAAAGTACTCAGGCCATTTAATTAATGTTACAGTTTTGTGCATAAACCACCATTTTTCCAGGCCGGCATTACTGAGACCCAAAGATGGATGAATGTCAAGAAACCTAATGTTGATACTATATGACGGAATTTCACCTAAAAGTTACCAAGCTAAAGAAGATAAATTTGTAAAAAAATCATCATAGCACACTAGTGGAGGAAATTAGTTTCATTGGATCATCAACACCTGCATGGCAGATTCTGTACAAAGATATGTAAAAATTTCAGTTACCTGATGATCACGCATTGGATTCCAATCATGTTCCATAAAAATGAGGGTATCAGCAGATGTCAAGTTCAGACCAAGCCCACCAACTGTGAAACAGAGCCATTAAGTAAAACATCATAAAAAAAATTTGCTCAGCACAATAAAAGCATTACCATGTGTTGTAAGCAGCAAGGCATCAATGGTTGGGTCAGAATTGAAAGCTTTCACAATGTCAAAACGTTTTTCTGCTTCAACTGATCCATCCAATCGTAGATAAGTGACACTGTTTGATGCAAAATTTAAGAATTGATGAAATTTTCTAGAATTACCGCGAGATAATAGGAAGGCAAAATATGCTTCGAGACAGATGCAATAGCTCAGAGCATATACATCAAAACGAAGAAGAAAATCAAAATAAACCAAAAGATCGCAAGAGCTCAGAGCATATACATCAAAATGAAGAAGAAAATCAAAACAAACCAAAAGATCTTAACGTTGGTTTATTTCTATAGCACACTTTATAAACCTCTTACACAGGATAGTAAAACTTCACCAATTCTTTTTGCTGTCCCCAGTTGTCAATTTAAACATTTGCATCAGAAAGAACCATGATTTTCCAACTGGTTGTAAAGAACAAAGAAACAATGACTAAACAATTACACCACGAGAGTCCAACACTTGTTTGACCATTCAAGATCTGCCTAATTGAATTGATTTTAAATAGAGCATTCTTATAATGCAAAAAGTAAAAGGTACTAAATGTTAAATGATAAACATCAACCTGAAAATAGAAGGGGAAAAAATGGACAAGAAGGTTCTAAGGACGAAAGTTGGGATCTATAAGCACAAAAAAGAGCAAAAACTGGATAAACATCAATTGAGTACAATTTTAAAGCCAGCCAACCAAATAAAGGTTATATCATTAACCACCAATAAAATTATTATCCTCATATGGTATGTTAAAAAAGTATTGTTAGGAGTAAGGACACATCAAACAACTCAAAAGTAATAGGTCCAGGTAGTGGAAAAATTATACCATCCATTTATAACTAAATACTGGACACTTTGAAAGTGCAAGTCAAACAAAATGAAACGCCAAAAAAGATCCAACCTTTAAAGCCTTATGTGTTTCATGAAAATTGGCCAAAATAAACTACTT